TTTGCTTTGGAGTCATTCAAGCAACCTGTTGAGCGGCAGCCTTATTGAATACAAGCCACCTTAAATATGAACTCAGGACCGAGGAACTGGATTTGGACAAATCCAACCCCTAGAGAGTCAAATTGAATTAAAGCACAGCCTAGAGATCCTACCTGGACCATAGGAGTCCTCGAAAATCTCAGGAATCTACAGTAATTCTGAAGCTACAAGAGCTTTTCAGTATGTTGAGTATTCCGAGAGAATCACAGACCAACCAACTGTAGTTACTTATATCCTCTACCCCAACATTTTTGTTAGAAAATAACAAAATTAACTAGAAACAAATTAACTAGAACGATACTATTCCTTGAAATGTAGTAACACAATTGGATAACTCAGGTATTGAAGTCCTTAAATTAGAGTCATTTTAAGGGGTCATCAAATTAGGTACTAATCGAGATCCTAACAGACCTAACTAGATCACTTCTGGGCCGAGAAGGTATGAGAAGTTCGAGGTAGGTCATCTGGGGACTCAGGAATTTGTATCAGAAAACCCTAATCACGACAGACTTGATTCAGACCATCCCAGGATCGATATACTCAAATTGGTATGTTCAAAGGGATCATCAAACTCAGAAATCGAAGTTAGGGATCCCTCAGATTCAAAGACCCCAATTAAGAGTTTTCGTATTTAAAGAATCAATCTGAGACTCCAGACCTATGGGTTTCCAATTTTAGGGTTTAGTTCTTTAGGGTGGGAGGTCCTATAACTGGAACTTTTATGTGTGAGGGTTCGATGGCGTGAGTTACTGAATCTTCAAGGCAATACAATTCTTGGATTAGGTGGAATGATCTAACTTGAATCTCTCCGTTGTGGAATGGTCTGATTCGAATTTCTCGGTCCTCAAACGGAGTGATTCGAGTCTCTCGGTCCTGGAATTGCGCTGATTCAGATTTCTCGATCCCGTGTTGATTTGACTTTTTTAGACCAGGGTTGGACTAATTTACGTTTCTCAACTTCCAATTTCTTGGTTTTGATTTGGTTCAAATTAAGTCTTTCCACTTTGAGTTCGCCTAATTCGGGTCCTTCGACTTCTATAAACTATACTATAATCTAATTTCAGTTGTTCAGTAATGAGATGACACAATTTCAGTCTCTCAATGTTGTAGTGGTATAACTTGTCTTTTGACTCTCGATTCGTCGAACTTTATATCTCCAAACCTAAGGCAGTTTAAGTTACATCGATTGGTAGTAGAATGGAGTCTTCCTTGGTTATCGAATAATTTAGGAACCATTTTCGTTATAAAAATGTTTGCTTTTACTAACCATAGGACGGTAATATACAGTTTCAGAGGGACTTTGCCCTTTTTATTTTACTACTTGTGGAACATCAGACAAATACCCTAATTAATACCATTACAGCTCTAAAAAGGGTAATATCACACCCAAAACATCAATGTTTGCTACCCAATGAGACAGACCAAACAATATCTACTATCTTAAGTGTATGTAACACACAGGAATGTTTAACACTAGAATTACTAAAGCAGTAAAACTGACTGGTTCGTAAACTTTTGCAAAAATTATTATGTCATAACAGTGTTTTTTCAGAGATACTTCACAAGTTTTATTGCAATAGTTTATTGCAAACGTTCTACTGAAGAAGTCCATTAGTTTATCGATTTGTATATCTTCAACAAGTTCTCGTTTCTACCAATGTGATAGAAATAGAAACACGTCCATTTCCAGTAGTTACACTGTTAAGGGGTCATGCTCAGTCAGGAAGCCGAAAAAAGAGTGTCTTTAGGAATTTTTCTCTCGGAAACTATAAGACCTTCTTCAAGAAATGTGTTTGTGTTTCGAAGATTGTAGTTTCTGGATTATAAGTTAATTTTTGTATTTAAAAATATGTATTAGTAAATAAATGGTGAGCGATCTGCCGGATGTCTCTTCACAAAAAGTAGTCTGCCGTGATCACTGTAACTTCGTAACGGTTCATCTGAAATTAAAAATTCAGTAAGATTTATGTAATGGAAGAACCAATCTTGTCCTTGAACGTGGGGTTTTTCGAAATATTGATTAGGAACAAAATAGCGGATGTTCTCCTGAAAAAGTGCGATTTTTACTTAAAAATACACTCGTTTTTGGTCAATTAAGAAAAAAGGATGGAACGAACAAAAGAATACTTCGTTTAAGGACAAGTTTTTCTGATTTGAAATAAGGCGCAAAAGGCTTCATGTAAATCGACACAGTAGTTTTCGAGAAATATTGATTACCGATTTGAAAAATGTAGTTTCGAGAAAAACGCGTTTAAAGTTTCAAGTCAAGCTTACACTTATATAAAATGTTCATTTATTAATGCCTGTAACTCTGTCATTTTTAATCGGATTACCTTGAAACTTGCATAGAATGTTCTCGAGATGTTGTACTCAAAGAAAATGTAGAAAGTGAAAAATCGATTTTTTTGAAAATTTTTGACTGACCATAACCCCTTAACCAAAGGATGCCTGTATTACTTAAACGATATTTATTCCGGTAATAGGTAACAATGTACCTATAGCATAACATAGATTATGCAAACAGAAAAAGCCTGCTTATACATTCCGCATCTCGTTTCCATCAGAAGTTCACAGACATCGTAGCAACGATATCCCCGATCCAAATAATTAGATCGTATGTGGTCACCCGCAAACTCCATTCATTACGCTCGCGGTCGCATAAACGTCGAAAAGTTTCTGAGCTGGCGTACTCCCCCGTCGTGTTTCGAACCTTCGTCGAGGGATTATTTGTTGCACGCGGAGGGGTGGCGCGGTTCCAACGGCGTGCACCCTTTCGTGATTCAAAATTTTACGAGTACGACATAAAAACTGCCCGGTACACGATACCAACAACAGACCGTCGATGGTGGCACGCTTTCGCCTCCAGTATTTCATTTACGTTTTTTTTTTGCCCGTATATCGACCGGCGATGTACAGGAAACTGGTGAAATTCGGCGAAATTCAGCTACAGTTCAAATATATGCGCTTGCAAGTTATTACGTGGCCGCAAGCTACCCACGTTCGTCATAAACGTAAAACTCCAAGAGGATTAGCGTATCGTTCGTGTAATTCACGCAGTAACAATTCCATTATTAGACGTGTACGATCGGTGTCGAAAGGAGAACGATCTAATTGCGACAACGAATTCACATTCGAGTATGAATTTTAATGCTATTTATTTCTGCGTTTCGATTGCGTTATGGGGTTTAACAATACCTGGTGAATTGTTTTAGCGCGCCGTAGGAATATTTAAAGAGTCTTTCACCGTATCGATACTATTGTATATTCCATTTTTCATGCATGTCATTTTGCAAATTTCATATACACGCGACAATGTTAAAATATTTATAGTGGAAATGCGGGTTCATTCTGTTAGATTGTACCACATAAAATTGTTGATATTTGAATTGTTCGTAAACAACCGCGATTAGTAAATTAAATGTGACCTACATTGTCTGTTATGCTGGTTAGAAGGTGCACTATTACTGTGCTATTCTGTCACTTTTGATTATTGAATTCCTATTATGATAGTTTAATGATTCTAGATAAGTAAACAATATAAGGGGAGGTCAAAAGCGATTGTTTCGTAGCGACTCCTCAGCCGAATACCTTGGTCTTTCGCGATTTTACACGATGATTGAAGTAGTATCGTGTGAGGGGTACTAGAAAATAAGAAATCTAATACTGATAATTAAGTTTAATAATAAGTGACTGTGTACAGGTAACTGAAGACAAATATACAATACTAGGTGTATACGGTATGGCGGTTATAATCGATCTGAAGACCGAGCGTCTCCAATTGGGATTTACTCATTTTGGTCACGCAATCTGGTGGCGAAAAAAAATAAGCAGTCAAATCGGGTCAACTATCCCTTGTGACATACGGAGTTAGTACTGTTTTTGCTCATTCGAAGTACAATTCTTTGTTTTAACACGCTAGATACGTTAAATATTTAATAAAAATAAAGTGGAAGATACATCAGGTGTTCGGTTTCCATCAAAAGAAACCAAGAGCAAGATGTACTATTGTGTATATGGGTGTAGCAGCAAGCTTTGTATCGACATTGCGATTGCGGTTCCGAAAATATTTACCTTTCGGTTTCGATGAAAATTGGTAAAATTCTCTCAATTACTCCCAAATAAACAAAAGATTTTTTGGCAGATTTGAAAATTAATATACATATATGTATACATATACATATATACATATACATATATGTATACATATACATATATACATATACATATATGTATACATATACATATATGCACATATACGTGTACCATATTAATTTTCAAATGCTCCAAAAAAGCTTTTACAAATGTTCGTTTGGGAGTATTTGAAACAATTTTACCAAGTTTCATCAAAATCGAAAGGTGGACCTTATCGGATCTACATCCAATATTATAACAATAATGAAAAAATTTAAATATTCAAATATTTAAAATAAATTGGGGCTTTGTAAGTATTTATTGTATTTCTAACAATGAACGACACTGAATTTTAACGAATGAAGGAAAGAAAGTACAATAATGTGTTATTTTACTGACAAACTTATAAATGCATATTAAAGTTTGTATTGCGCCATCTATACAAGACTAGAAGAAACTATTAAATACTCACAGATATGCAAAAATACATGACACTAGTATTTTATCTCGTAATTTATTATACAATACGTAGTCATATGGCTGCAGTGGGATCGAAAGGGTTAAGACAGTCAACGTTGTTAGGTACTCAAACCTGTCTCAAAGTACTTCCAAAGTGACTCAAGACTTAAATTTTTCAAATCTATGAATATTCTTAACTAAATATTATTATCATCCGACGAAAGTAAATGACAGACCACAGCTGTGATATAATAATTTATTTGATCAGACTGAATAATTTGAACCCAATTTAACATTTTGCTGTTTGTAGGAACGACTGCGGTACCGTTGAGGTGAAAGCTGCTCGAATTCCAGTACCAATAGACTCGGAGGTGTACCACATGAAGCACAAAAGAAGAGGCGTTGCCTTAATCTTCAATCACGTCAATTTCAAGAAGATGGCAACGAGAAAGGGTTCTGTCAAGGATAGCAAGGATGTAACGCAAGCGCTGAATCGACTCGGTTTCGAAATCCGAGAATACACGGATCCTGGTGTTCAGCAGATCGCAGGGATTTTAAAATCCAGTGAGTAAATTATCCACGTATATTATTTGTCTGTGTGTGTTTTGCAGACTTTTAAGTGAATAAACATTTGAAAGTTAACTAAATAATGGTTCATATTTAGTCGAATACATTCAGGTGAAGTGTTAGGTATGAGTAAAAATTGAGTCACAGTTTCGTGTACGTTTTAATAACTAAGTGAATAATTTAAAAAAAGGGATTATTACCAAACATTCCGGATAAATGGAAAACGATTCTAAATAATAGTAGCCATTATTCCTGACTTTAATGTGAGAATAAAGACATTTGTAAGCAAACCGCATAAGATGCACAAAAACTGCATAACGCTCCGTCAGGTCTGATAATGTATTGTTTTCCCATAAAAGGTTTGGAAAACTCTTATTTTTTCACTTTGTATAATCACGAAATTCCAATCGAAAATGGGAACCATTTCAAGTAATATTATTATATTTACATTTATTTTGTACATAATTATAAACGCTCAAAAATCCATTACAGCGTTTCTTTAAAAAAATTTTCAACTGATTCGTTATTCTCCTATTAGCAGACTACTATCATCGGAATCAGAACCTTGGAAATTCGAAACTGTTTGTTACAAACGGTACACGATGTATCAATTTCTACTACTGTGTTTCTAACGATTCAGAAAGTCAGGAACAAAAGAACAATCATGAGTACACGTTCGCAAATTAAAGCGATGAAATTTAGGAAATTACGGCATATTCCGCCAAAGTGTGCCTACGACAAAAATTTTTTGTTCAAGCGGTCGGTCGCAACTCGTGCAACGCGCGAAACACGATTTTGGGAGGCGAAACACGTTTTGTACGCGAACAGGGTGACAGCATTTAATCATTTTTCTGCGCTGCTCGTTAAACAACACGTAATTCGCGACAACGGGCAGGAACGGATAATACGCGCGATAATTCATTTCGGCCGTCTCCGCGTAACGAGTCGCGTTTTCATTATTTGAGTAACGCCCGCTTTGATACAGTTCGGGGTACCGGGGGCGGGCGGGGTGGGGACACCTTTTCGACGCCATGAGTTTCCCCCGGACGAATAAAATTACTAAATGTGCCAGGCAGTTTAAAGAGAACAATGAACAGCTTGAATTGCCTAATGAACGATATAATACGTATGCCGAATTAAACGTGAGCAAAAACATTTAAATAATTTGGGACAACATGAAATACATTATGATTTGAAAAACGCGAGGGATGAACAGAAATGCAAATAATTGAGGAGATATTAGAAGCTTCTAACAGGCTCTTGTTCAACGTTAGATGTACCAATTAGTAATCTATTAGTTCTTTTTCATAGACTAATAACACTGTTTAAATTTGAAACATCTTTCTATCCGTTTCTTCCTTCAAAATGACGGCGAAGAATTTAAAACGAGGACAAATATCACTCAAATATCATAGCCTTCTGATTTCCTCCAAAATACAGTCTGTTCCACAAAAAAGTGTACAGCAGTATTTCTGTAATATATAATCTATGAAAAAAAGAACTTTTGTACTGTAAAATAGACTGAAAAATATATTGCACAACTACCTAGTGGTAAGTTCATTCGCCTCGATTGTCGATAATTGCCTGCCACTTTCTTCGCAAGCTTTCCACGAGTTTTTCTACGTATTCGTTTTCTACGTGTAGCTGGGCTTTCCCCTGAGCGTAAACTTCATGTAGAACCCAACATTCTCGATAGGATTCGCATTTCGAAACGATAGTGGCCAATCCATCATAGTGATGTCATTTTGCGTTTTCGACTCAGTGCAAAGACAACTGCGATGTTTTGGGGCGGTGTCTTCCTGCAGTTTCCAGTTACTCCCGTCTTGGCTAAACTATTTCTGAACAGGCTTCAATAAACATTATAGATTTGGCACCTCTTTGCAGTATTCAGATTCCCGGTTAAGAGAAAAAGTGTGACGAAATCACACTTGCAGAAACACCCCCAAACGTGTAACTGTACGCAGAATGAGCCTGCCACCTGGAAATGATCAGGCCTTTCTCAAGACTGCCCATGCCCAGAAGGAAGCTTCTTCCAAAGAGATTACATTGTTGAAATCCTTGGTCAAATTTTCTTGCGACATGATTTTCGGATGGAAAGCGTTTTTCGATTGTGAAACGATAATCAATTTTCAGTTCATGCAAACGACGCCTGGTGGTGTCTATTCCCATGTCTACGCCTCTCCTACTAAGTTGAACCTGAGCTGAGCGTAATGTTAGAGTAAAGGTTCGTTGAAAAATGCAAACGATCAATGTATCCTTGTTTGATAACATCAAGCGAGTTAGTCCTCTCTCCGGCAAGTCATCCACGTTTCCAACGTCCATTCGCATGATTAACGAGAAACACTGTTTCATAACGCTTGAGATATTTAGTACTCATTGTATAAAGAGTCCACTTGCAGGAACCTAACAATTAGCGCGATGACAAAGCAGACATTAAACAAAAGAGCATAATTCAAACTTTCAAACGCCTCGACGTAGATAGCGCTGCGATTAGCCGTTTAAAACTTCTGCTGTACACTTTCTTGTGGAACAGACTGTAAATACTGAATTTGACAAAATATAGTGGATTATTTACGGACACACTGAACGTAACCAAACATCTGGTTTCGTCTAGAATATTAAAAATGCTAAAATAATTGACATAAATAAATCTTGGTGATTTCTATGTATATTTTAACGTATTCTTCTTACTTAAATAAGTAAAATAAGCGATTCCGACCAATTGCAAATTTTGAACATTTTGTTAACACATCATTTAGTACAGTAATCCTTCTAAGTTAACAAAGAAACACGAGTCACTTGGTCCAATTTTGAAAGAGTTGTTCTGTTTTAAAGGGTGAACGAATACTTTTTTTTACCCACTGTACGTAGTGATTACGCACAATGTACATACACTTTCTTCTGTTCGATCGAATTCTACACGATTACTTTTTTTCATGAAAAATGTCTGAAATTTAGTAGTCAAAACAGTATGATGTTTATAAATATTTAAACAGACGGTCAATTTTCTTGATTTCTTTTTAAATAAATGATGTTTAGTCTCACAGTAGTGATTGTTCTATTATTTAAAAATTCATTTATCCGTACACTTATGTCTCCTTCCTAGTCTGGATACAGAAGGCTCTACTCTAATTAAAAATGATCTCAGCTGAGCAACTAAACGCAAATTATTGAAAGGAGAAGACAGTCTTCTTATCGAACGAATTCGTTCTATATTTCGTCAGCACACCAGCAGACGATGTCCTCAAATTCTCTTTCCGTGGCGAGCACCGACATTTCCATAAAATTCGCATGCCAGACTCGAGGCCTGGAACCTTTGCCCAACAAATCGTCGGTAAACCGTAGGCAATGGGGAACAGAAGCGGAATCGTGGTCGTCGAAGGAACGTCACGTTGAGCACTGTTTGAATTTTCCTCTCTAATATTCGTCCATTCAAATATTGACACAATAGGCGTCGCGCTGCGACGCTGTCCAAAATACATTTATCAAACGCCATTGTCGCGAATTTTACGAAGATGTTCCTTACGGTGACCGGGAACCGTGAAGCTCGTAAATCGTACGTCTCTAAATCACCCACATACCCACAACAATTGTATCGCGAAGGTTTTATTTAAACATATCTTTCGAGTTTTTATCGCGGGTGATGAATTTCAATGACCGTACTTCACGCGATATTCCTTTTTGTTTCTGTAGTTTATCTTTGGAGAAAATGGGTTTAAAAAATACTGCAATGATTTCGTCCTTTTATATATTTTTATTATGTCCATGATTCAAGGAAAAGATAGATCCATACGATTTAATAATACAGTAATCATCGAGAGAGAACAAACAGATCACCGTAGGAAAGTATAAACAATTTTCTCCTTTCATGTCTGTGTAGTTACTAAGCCAGCTGGGCGGACAACTTATTTATTATCATATCGGTCTGTTGTTTGTAAGAATGTTTGTAGACGAACGTATATAATAAAAACAAAATAGTTTCTATTTTACGTTACAGAGAGTCCTCTAATATTTTGTTACTTGTTACACATGAATCCGAACATAGCCTCGGTTTGCACCATTTTAACACGTTACTTGACCGGTTTATAGATATTTTTGATCTCAGAGCTTATGAATTGGAAGCCTTTTAATTTACTTTTAATTGAGGATTAAACTAGAATTCCTAAGATTATCTTATTCAAGCTGTTGTATTGTTTCATGATTGTATTATAATTTGCCACTATGATTAAACAGTTTATTTGTAGGTCGTTGGTTGTTGATTGTTGGATTTAAGGAGTATATTAAAGAGCCGTTGGTAGATAATGTAGTCAGTTATATAACAATATATTCTATAGTGGTAAATTTAAATGAATTACATAACATTCGTTTTACCTTTACCGAGTAATTTGTTGTGTACATTTATTTATTATCTTTATTAAATAACAAATCTGTTAATTCGCGAGTATATTACAGTGAATTATGAATACTTAATCAATCGATTCATACGTTTTCTAATTTCCAAAGAATTATTCGATGAAGTTAATTATATCAGTCGAAATGGTATTCCATAATGATGGTTTCCAAACGAGAAACATATTTGCGAACAATAATTTGATTATTATAACACATATGTATTGTGTAAGTATAATCCATATTATTCTGTGTGTTAAAAGCTCTGCAGGTCTGCAGAAATTTTCAAACATTTATTTCATATTATGTTGTTATTAATGACGCACTAATTGCAATCGGACCTCAATCTCGAAGAGCCCGCGAATCGGATAGAATTACGCTATTTCAACGAGAATCTTGTTTACATTATAATGAGAAGGCAATACAGTTAATAATAGCAGAATCGGTATCGCTATTAATTTAATACCGAACGGTCGACGTAATCGTTTGTACCCGTCGAATTTGAATGAAAATAATATTTTCAATCGAAGTTCTCGACTTACTATCGATGTAATATCATAATTATTAGGTCGTGTTTTAATACGATTAGGATCATGATTGTATGACTG